TCATTTTTACATGTGTACAAAAAATTATTTGCACTGGCAACCATATAAAGCAAAAATACAGCAAAATGGATCATCTATTTTGGTAAGCTGTGTATACTGCAGTCAACCAATATAATTCATTGTGTATGCAAATGGATGCAGTTAGATACTAAATTTAAAATATATACCAAGATCAAAAGAACTTTAAAAAATCAAATAGCTGAAGCCTATAATGATGAAGAAAGCTACAAAAGGCTATCAAAATGATTTAGTGAGCACATCTCCACAGTGCAACAAATTATTTATAAATGCAAGGTCTTTGGTATGACAGCATCTTTCTTATAGTTATAAGAGAGCACTCAAAATCACTGCAAAGGGCAAACTAATTTACATGATACTGATGTCAGTAAAGATTTCTGAATTTTGTGAGTTTTTGTCTGAGTTTTTTTTTACTGAGCTTATTGCTTGGATTATATATATATATATATATATATATAATCATACTTATTATAAAACCCAGGTTGTGTGTGTGTGTCTGTACGTTTATATATTGGATCGGATTTCCTACATTTTTCAACCAATTTCAACAAAACTTCACAGGACTACATAAAATCACCTTGCGGTGGTTCTGACAGCGCCAAAAATTGGAAAAACACAATTGTTTTTGCACAAAATCAATTTGAAAACATGATTAAGAGGCATCGCGAGAAGGAAAGGGGGACAACTCATATCAAGTTTTACTTATTATAAAACCCAGGTTGTTTGTGTGTGTGTGTTCATTTATATATGGGATTGGATTTCCTACATTTTTCAACCAATTTCAACAACTTCACTTTGGGGGGGGGCAGGTAGTGTTTCTTATTGTATTGCACACTCTTTTCTTTATTTTTACATTCAGAATGCTTTAAAAATTCCATTTACAAGACAATTGTTTATAATAAAATTCTATTCAATCGGTAGACTCATAACGATTGAAAACAATGTTTTTGTTTGAGTTTGGGTTTGACCAATTCTTAAAAAAAAAAACAAAAAAAAAAAAACTAATTAAGACATGTGTGTCCGTCAACCTTAAACAATAATCTTTGTCAATTTTATTTTTCAATCTTTATGATGGTCGATACTTGATCTATTACTGTTTACATCCCCGGGCAATGCCAGGCTCTACTGCTAATATATATATATATATATATATATATATATATATATATATAAAATCTCTTCTAAGTGATGGTGTAAAGAAAATTGAGCCATTCAAAACATTATTTTAAAAATTAAAAAAAAATTGCTAGTATCCCTGAAAGTTAATGAAGATCAGACATTTTAAATTCAGGTAACATTAAGTAATCTTATCTCAAAGTAAGTGTTAGAATAAGTCAAACACAGTAATATATGATGGATGATTGGGCACCTCAAGGTGGTATAATGGTTATCAAGCTTCTCTTGCTAGAACAATTATGACTGAGTAGTGAGTTCAATCCTCACTGGGTGCCCCATACTTTCAGCTTTGTGTCACATCTGAGCTACACTTGGAAAATGACTATGATGGGTAATTGAATGGAAAAATTAATGTGTGACACATTTCATCCTTCATAAGAATCAGCAATATTATTTTTCCTGACCTGGTGTCTTGGCTTCAGTTACTTTCCCCACCACTTTAAAGTTGCTTTCCTGTGTCTTTTCTATAAATACTTTCATGGTAATTGTTTGGGTGAGCTCTTCACTTGGTACCTAGACTTTATGAATTTAAATGCAGTACTAAACTGACAACAAGGTCTCACCAATTTACAGTAAGGCTGGCTAGATGTAACCATAAGTTTTATGCTAACAGTTCTTTTTCTCGCACTTCTTGCTTGTGGAACACCCTTCCAGCTCCATGCTTTCCCGTCAATGTTAATCTTCAAAAATTTAAATGCAATCTGTCATTATCTACTGTTTTCCTGATTACTCTTCTATAGTTCTTGCTCCTTAGTAATGTTTCTGTTTTCTAATTCTTCCATACCCTGTAATCCCTTGTGTCTTAGTGGCTTTACTGCCTTGCTTGGGATGAATTCAATTAAATAAAAAAACTTCTTTTTTTACTGATAGAATCATATATCTAAATAGAAGGAATGAAATATGAAACATTTTGGTTATAGTTATATACATCAAAAGAATACCAAAAATGTAGGGACACTTAATTTTAATTTTATATTTCTGGAATTTGATGTGTCTAGCAGTACAACCTCATTGAGCTTTCTTCCACTTTTATTTTTGTTTATATTGCTATTATTCGTAAATCTTCCATATTGTAACAGTAGTTTTATTAAGAAAGGTGAAATGTATGATGTTGGATGTAAATTCACTATGGAATACTCAGAAATTAGTGCACTTTCCATACATTTTCACTTTAATAAATTACTTTCTTAATTGAAACTGCATTCTTTAAATTATTAATTCATTTAACAACCATTAATCCAATATATACTTTATATATCATATCCCCCCCACACACACACATGCACACAGGTGTGTGTATGAGACTTACTGACTTTTATCAGCTGTCTTAGTAGTTGTCCTCATGATATATCACATATCAACACTGATGCATTTGAATTATTCCGACATAAAATGATATCAACACCACCTTTGATATGAAAGTATTAAGTACCATTAATTTAATTTCCCTCTCTTTAAGACTAGTACCAATTAGATATGAAATTAGTCCAGCCAAGCATATAAATTTTAAGGCATGGTAGCAGTTTCAGGATAAATGTAGCTATACTGTGTCCTTAAATAGCAGCAAATCCCTAAGTGTTGAAACAGCCCTTGACAAGACAGGAACACTCCTCCGACCGGACTAGCAATCTTACCCAACAGGTTTTCCTAAATTTAACTATATACTTGTACATATCCAGTCTAGTAACACTTCCAAATCTGTTAGCATTCAAATACCAGATATAATTGTAGTCTAACCAAGCCTGGTATTAATTTTCACACACAGTAGCAGTCTCTATCAACATATGATAGCAAATATATAGATGTTGTAGTAGTTTCTAGATAGCATTTTGAATTGCTTATTTTTTTTTTTTTTCTTTAAATGATTTGTGCTAATTTCAGTTTTCTTTTATCTATGCTGCCTTGCAGCTTAAAATTACATGGGGCCCACAATTTATTATAAACAAATTGTTATGATTTTCGTTCACAATTAAAAGAAAATACCTAAATAATTTTGCATAGGAAAATTCTTGCTGCTTCCTTCCATTCATTTCAGTCAGTTATGTGCCATTCATGATATATACTTAGGTGATCATGTATCTTTCAATATATGACTGACGAGGCAGATTTTTTCCCAAAGTAGGTTGCCATTTCTTTCTGTGGTGGACCAGTTGCCATCCAAGGCTATAGAACTTGGTCTGTCCTGCTCTTTATGCATAGCTGGTGGGGGAAGAAGAGGATTCATACCTTTCCCAATTTAACAGAATATCTTACAATATTTTTCTACTTGATTGAATTTCCTAAAATTATATATTTCATATTTATTTTTGGAAATCCCTGGAAAACATGTCAGTTTGAAGTTTTTTTTGTTTTTTTTCCCATTAGCTTCCTCTGAGGTTTAAATATACTCAGTAAAAGTATTTAAGACTTGGCTTTTACTACTGTTCCAAATGCTGAACATAATACCCTGCTACTAAATTTTGGCCCTTAAAAATCTGACAGTAAACAATCTTTTTTGTTGCTGCTGCTTGGTTGAACTGCAAATAACACATACTGTGAACAAATTTATTTAAACAAGGAGAAATGCAGACATTCCATAGCAGGATTCTCAATCTTTCATCATCATCAGTCTCATGACAGTGTATAATTGGAGGGTCAATGCACAGCTGAGTACCTGTGCAGCTTCCTCTACATTTCTCAGTAGATATTCATTCATGCATAGCCTTTCTTGAGAGCAGAGTAGTTCTGGCGGAGACCATCTCTCTTCAGATCAGACCGCAACTGCACTGATGTCCTCACCTTGATCATTATATATGTGGTCATTGATTTCATTGGGGTAATCCTCGATCCTAGTTGTTAACTTCTAAATCTTTACATATGTACAAAGAATATGAATGAATCTTGAAATGGAAATTAGTTTAAATTGAGTAAATATGATATTATATTTATTGCTTTTTTTTTTTTTTCATTACATATTTTATAAAATGTCTTTTTAGTAATTTATTTTTTTGTTTCTTCATGCCTACTGTAGTTCAATTTTTCATTATACATTGTTGCTAAACATCAATAGACTCCAAATGAATAGCTAACCTAAAATAAAACTTATTTTCTTTTTAGAATTCAATCTTTGTCATTGTATCATCTTGTTAGTTTTACTTCCATCATCTAGCTTGTTCTATTAACCAGGAAATATTTGGTTTTGCTGTGGATAACGTACATTTATGACAGACATAAACCTTTTATTTAAATGAAAAAGTGTATTATGGTTAGCTTCTTGCAAATTTAATCCTTCATATTTTCTTATTTTGAATGACATTTTGAAAAATAGTATTGCAACAGTTCAAACTTAATCTATCATTATTAATATTTCTTCTCCCTCTTGTTAATTCTTTTAAATTCATTTTTTCATGACTACAATTGGATTAGTCTGTTATAAAGAAAGTTGCCTGCCATCACATTTTAATATAAAAGCTGTTTATGTTTAATATATGGGTTAGTATTTTTAAACAAGAATTTATTGCTAAATGGCATCAGGACTAGGTTTTACTATAAATGGTATCAGGACTTGGGTTTAGTAGCATAGCCAATATTTCTCTCTGAATCAGAATGCCAAAATACTGCATTTTTGTTTAATCTGTTAATTGTTCAGAAAATCAAAGATCATTTATCTTCTCTTCTGAAATGGTTGTTCATGAACTTTTCTTAAAAATATGTTACATTTGTCTAACTTGATTAGAATGATTTGCTAGTGCAGTTGAAATACCTATTTTATTTTTGATAGCCCTAATATTGTGGCTTTTTTTTTTTTTCTTTCTCTCTCTCTTCAGCAAACTCTCTACATCTGGCAGTCTGGAAGAGGACACAATGGCTGAAGTGGATGTCAATGCACACTTACAGGATTTTATTGCCAGTGGACGGACTGGTCGGCGCAATGCTGTACCAGACATTATTCATGATGGGCTTGCAAAAGTGAGCACCAGTGATTTACCTTATGAACTTGAGAAGTTGAAATGTTCTGGTAAATAAAACATTTTTATCATTTTTTTTCTATTTCTCATTTCTCTTATATCCTCATATTTCCATGTGATGTCTATATATATATATATATATATATATATAAAGTGACTAAATCACATTTGACATTTTGCTATTAACCACAAATCAGAAATTTGAGTCTCCTAGCATACTGGAGAGGTAATTTTTGGAGAATGGATCACCTGTGTCCTGAGAAGAAAAGTTGATGTTCCCACCAACTGGTATCAGGATTTAAATGGATTTTTTTTTTTTTTTTTTTTTTTTTGTAGCCTTTAGCATCTTGCTAAATATTTGGATTTACTCAATGTCCCATGAATACTACACATACACTTTTTGAGAGAAAGACATTTTCTTTTCAATATTTAGTTTCTTTTACAATGTAACTATTGGTCTTTGTCCACTGAAATTAAAAACATTTTGCAAATATTTTTTGTCACGAAAAAAAAAAGTATAAAATAATCACCTAAAGGCTTTCAATTGACTATTTTTTCTGTTATATAGGAAAAAAGCAGGTAGGAGAGAACTTAAAGAGAAAAGATTGTGCCACTATGAATAATTACTCTTCTGAGAATTTTGGTTAACACTGAGTAAAAAGAAATGTATTGCAAGTCAGTTGTGATATGATGCCAACATTGTCTTTAAAAAAGGGGGAAAATGCTTGATTGCTTTAATTTAAATAAATCTTTACCCTTGGCAAAAATGATAACATAGTCGACAGAGGTCTTGATTGAGTTTGAGGTTCAGTTCAGTTACTCATTTATCTCAACTGATTTTTCCAAATGCAGCAAGTGATTTCTTATACTTATTAAAATACCTATTCTTATTTATATATATATATATATATAATATAATTATTTTCTCTTTTAGATGAGGATCAGAAATCTGGAATTGCTTGTGCTGCAGGTCCTTCAACAGAAGGCGGAAACACAGACTCCAAAACATCGTCATAGCAACTGGATACAATGGGTTACTACATCACCACCACCACCCCCGCATCCACGATCATAATGACGACAAACACTACTACCACCACCATGATGACTGGCAGCAGCTATGGAAAGGGCTCTCCTGGTGAAGCCCACTGCAGATAAATTTGAATGAATGTGGATCTGTTGGGGAGTGGATCAGAGACAAGCACAACTAGAAATGTGTGAAAATAACCATTCTGGTTCTGCAGATCTCTGTAACTTCTTTCATTTTGGCTGAGACGGAAGGCTTTTTACAAAGCATTTGACTCTCTTGCTCCCAATTTTTTCCTCCCCAAATGTTTGTGTTTATCTCACTCTTTATGTCAGTACCCATAACACACATTCATACACATGTCTTGTCAAGTTCATAACAGTTACTTTTGGGACAGTGTTTGTGAGAACCCATACATACACACATATCTACATTTAATTCACATGCATATACACACAGAGCTATGCAATAAATATACGATCCAAATATACAGATGCATCCACAAGTCAATGTCAAGTGATTTCATATATATATATATATATATATATATATATATATATATATATATATATATGCATGTATACATGCATACATGAATTATGTATTGTATATATATGCACTTATAGAATGTCTATGTACAGAAATACACTGTAAATACAGTTATGCAATGCACTTGTATTCACAGCATACACAAACAAATGTTTTAGAATGCATATACATCTCTATTCAATAGAATATGTAGACAGACAATTTGACAATCGTAGGCATTCAGAGTTATATGTAAAATATATTACAGGCCAGAAGTTGTATTAATCTCACATAATGTTTACAATACACACAATCATTTAATATAGAAATGCCCACTTTCACATTGTCTATTTATGCACACACACTCACACACACACACACACTGATTTACTGAAACACATATATATGCATCTGCATATGTATATTTTATAAATCAATGTGCACACACAGGGAACTTACATTTACACACTAAGATTATGCATGTATATATGTAATTTTAATGTGTAGACAGTGACTGTATGATGTTTACAAAGAACATATAATCACAAAATTGCACATTCAGTTATATGGATCTACACCTGTGTGTGTGTGTGTTTGTGTGTGTGTGTGTGCAGTTATGCCTCTAAATAGTCAGGTCCGTTTTTGCAACCACATTCAACTATGGCCTCATACATTTTCATATACATACACTTGTGAGCTTGTACCACCTATATACATACATATACCATTCTGAACTTTTAATGCATACCTACCCACATAATTACATAATTACACACACACATTTTCATATGTATATATGTTTCCCTATCTGCCTATTTGTTTAGTTTCTTTCTTGACTTCTAATATTTTGGGAAAGAAATTTTGCTCCCTGCGTCTCATCAAATTCTTCCTCCATCTTTTCTCTGTGATAAGCAACTTCTTTAGCCCAAACTGATTACCAGTGAAGACAATGACAATAAAAACAACAGCAGCAATATACAGTGCGTTCCCCTTCTCTGACCCTGCCTTCAGTACTGGCTACTGGCATAGGACACCAGAGAAGAGAAAGAGCCATTTGGATGGGGGGGGGGTTAGGGTCTCTCCACCTGTCTGCTGCATTTTTTTTTTTTTTTTTTTCCACTTCTGACATCTATGCCTTGTATTTGTTCTGACAACTCTTCCTGGATTTGCTCTGTAAAAAAAAAAAAAAGATAATAATGTGAGCTAAACTAATTCTCTATAAAATTGGGAAGATCTGTAACTTTTATTAAAGTTATTTAGAGCAGATTTTTTTTTTCTCTTTAGCAAATTAAAAAAATTCAATCCTCTCTTAAAGCATAAACAACTGTCATAAGATTTATAAAGGAATTTAACAAAATATATATACATTGGATATTTAATACTTATATTTCTAAATGATATATTTGCTGCATATAAAGGTATATACATACACATGTATATTAAATGTGTATTTGATGAAATAATTGAAATAAATCAGGTACAATATATTTCCAAAATATTAAGTATTTTATATATATATATATGCTAAAATTATAAATATGATATATTGAATATAAAGTTCTTATTTACACTTGGAAATTATTCTGAATGACTCACAATGCCTGTAGTTTACAAACTGCTGAATTTTCCTCTCTAAGCTTTAAGATTTTGAGTTGGTTTTAAGAACTCAAAATAAAAGGCTAATCACAAATCTACACATTTTAAATCCAATTGATCTCTCTGATCACTTTCTGTCAATGTCTTCTCATTGGTCAAGGGACAACAAGCCTGACTAATTAAACTTTAGTTGGTAGTAAAGAGGAGGAATCTACTAACTGGGCTTAGGCACTGTAGTCCAGCTGTTCTGAAGTTCAGACATTAAATTGACCATATCTAAACTTACCATTTCTTTTCATATAAACAAATAAGACAGGGAATTTCTTTCTTTCTCTCTCTCTCTCTCTCTATTGCATTTTTTTATGGGTGTGGGCTGTATTTTTTTAAAAATACATTTAATACACATCTGGTATGTATATCAGTGGCCACTGTTTGTAGATCTCTTTCTCGCTCACAGATGTAAATATATACACACACAATGATGTTTTACTGATAATCACTGTGTCTGTATGTGTCAGTTGCATCGATAACTTTCTCCTCTCATTTTTTGTTTAAAGGAAAAGAAAATACAAATTTGTAAAAAAAAAAAAAAAAAAAAAAAATTACATCTTAAAAAATATTTTGCTGTAACAAAGAAGTTGTATTAAATAACTATGATAATAATGTGTGTAAAAAAAAACCAAAAAAAAAACCGGATTTTTCTGCTTTTTGTTTTAAATTCACTGTTCCTGAGAGTTCTGATGCACAAGATGTTTGGTAAACAAGGAATTTGGTAACAAATAATTGAGGCCTATTGATGACTGAGAACTTACTGAATTAAACTACTTGATTGGATAAAAATATTAATTTGACTATACAGTTTTTTGTTCTTTTATTTTTTTAAGTTTTTATAAATTGCTGTTACAAATTTAGGGTTTTTTACCATCACGCAAATCTAAGGTGAAGGTAACTTTTATTACATGCCACAGGTTTCTTTGAAATATGTATGCTGTATGCCTTGTTTGCTTACAGGTATCACTGTGTGACTGCATTTTTTAATTACTAAAGTATTATGGATGCTTATGAATTGTGTGTGTACTGAATATAGATGTGAGTGTGACAAACATTCTGTTTTTGTCTGTAAATTTAACTTGGGTGATTATGTACCCATATGTCCATCAGGTTTCTATATGTTGCAATACTGCTGTATAAATTTGTTTAAAAAAAAACTCTAAAATAGATCAGTTCATACACATGGCATCTAATACAAATAAAACAATGAGATTTAATTTTTTTTTTCAACTAATAATATATGATATAAATATATAAATTCATTTTATACATATATATTTGAATATTCATAAACATTCAACTAGATCGCATACACACTTTGTGTCAACACTAGGAATAAAGAATTTAGAAAAAGAAAAATAGAATAAGCTTTACAAAATAAAGATGAATTTATATTCAGATAAAACCTCCAATTTCTATTGGATATAAATTTGTATTGATTATCTAAAAGTTAGTGGCAAAATAACAAAATAGTTTCTTGTATTGAATTAAAATTAATCATATAGAAACTGAATTATTACTTGAATGGTTTGTGGTTGCTTTAAGGAAAATGTATGTCTATTAATATATTAGTCTCCAAATAGACCTGTGTGTGTGTGTGTGTGTGTGTATATATATATATATATATATATATATATATATATATATATATATATATATATATATATGTGTGTGTGTGTCTGTGTGGTAATATTTCATTTGACTACCCACCATAAATATATGTATATCTTTGACTGTTTCTTGCAAGATGAGAATGGAATTATTTAGTCAAAGAAAATCACAGAAACATATGGCCAGACATAAAAATCATCCTAGAAGTTAGTTACACTGTATTCATTTCTGTTGGAATTTCTGAGATAAAGAGTTATCATTCTTTATATTATTTGCATCTGGAATATTTTCCTCATCTTTGTTGTTATTATCACATTTTGGTCATTCTACCCTCCAGCCTTCATCAGGTGTTTGTCAATAAATGGAATTTTTAACTTCTCTACTCAAAACAATAGCCTGGTTGATTAAAGCATTGGTTCATGAATTTGGTAATATAGTAATTGTGATTTCAATCCCTGGGCCAGGCTGTGAATACTTGAACTCTGTGAAAACAGAGCAAGCAGTAATTGACCAGTACTAAAGAGGAACTAGACAAGATATCCATACACATGGTCAGAACAAAAACAATCAACTCTCATAGATTAAATAAAGGGTTCAATTCAAAATTCCCTGAAGGTTACATGGATCAAAAAGCTCCTGATAAAGGCCAAAGGGCACAATGGCCAAAATAACAAAGATGAAGGAATAGTTCTCATGTAAATAACTGAATTGTTTTGGGTCTCCAGTTTGGACAAGCATGTTTACAACTGTTGCTCTTCAATCAAGTAATTCCTTTTTAGGAATAAATAACTAGAAATTACAATTACAAACAATATTAAATTGTGTGTGTCATCCTGTTAATTTTTGTGTGTGCACATTGATATGCACGAGTGCCTCTTTGTGTATTCATTTATATAAAAGATGAAAGTTGCTCTTTCTGAAAAAAAAAATAAAGAAATATTGATAAGCCAAGGATGTGAACAGTAAAATATTAATAAAATCAACTTTTTCATTTGTTAAGCAAATATTGGTTACCTACAAATAATATATTGGGAGTTAATTTCTTCATTTAGTTTTCAAATTTAACAAGAAAAGCAGCAAATATATTTAAATATTCACGTGATGTATTGTGTGTGGGTGCATATGTATATATGCTTATTTATATGATTTAATGTATACCTCTGTCTCTGAAAGCATATAACATAGATACATATAGAT